TGGCTGTGGAAGTAGGATACAACGAGGAGAATGAAAAGACAAATGTGGAAACAAGCAAGGAGTAGGCAGGTAGTAGGAACAGAACAAAATAGAGCCTAACAGAAGCTTTCACTGCTGTGTGGACTGCACGTGTCCTCTGAACCTTCAGTCTCCTGGTCACCGAGGACAGCCTTGTGGCAAACTCCGTCTGGAAGCGATGGATTCTATCCAGAGCATGTGAGTGGCAGAACTGGCTGTGTATTTGCTTAAACTCTCTAAGGTGAACAGCGTGGCAAGAAAGGTGAGCAATGATTGGAAAACCTTTTCAGAGGCCTGGGAACTTTGTATGCAACATCATGGCCTCAGATCCACTTTTTCTGCTTCTCAGAGCACAGGACGCATGTTTTACACATTAGTTCATGTAAGAAAGGCCCAAGTAAACAAAAGTAAATGTGTGAAATGTAGGTGTGTGAATTCAGGGAAGGAGGGCAGAAAGAGAGTTTGAAAGACAAGGGATAGCTCACTTTGCAGCCTACAGCTTGCACCAGCCAGATTTCCTGACAGGAACAAAGCCACTCTCACCTATAATCCATTCTGAAATTGCATTGCAATGCTGTGTCTTGGACTCATCAGTGCCAAAACATCACCTTGGGAGACCAGAACAGAATCAGATATACAAGACTTAACTCAGCAGTGAAGAGGAAAAATCTAGGGCTGAAGGAAAGAAAAATGACACCTCTATATACGTTTTAGTTAAGAGATCATGGACACACTGTTCTTTTCAATAACAAAGTCTACATTTCAGCCAAAGGAATGGCTGCAGCTTTGACAAGCCAGTAATTGAGAAGTGCACTGTTTGGCAAAAAAAAAGGATGAAAACATTTCTCCATCCCCCTTTCTTTAGAGAAGGTCATGTTAGCAAAAGTAAAAAATCAGACAGGTAGTGTAGATATTTAGAGCTTTCAGGAGGCAATAAAAACTGCTGTGAAAAATGGCAGAAAATTAAGAACCCAGGAATAAGAAAGGAACTAAAAGCAATAAGGCAGAGGTGAATTAGGTGAAGGCATATTCCTTGGCTGAAAGATAGAGGGCAGACGTGAGTGATTAGGAAGCAAAACCATATTGTTCTCCCGTTTTATTATTTTACTTACGTTATTAAGAGCTTTCCTATCCAGAAAACAAAGGCCTGAACTTTTGTGGCTATCACATGGTGATTCAATGCAGGGACACCACCCATGACACCTCACTATCCTCAAAAGTTACAGTACAACTGATGGTTGGATATTAAGATTCCTGCAAGAATCAATTAATAGATGCCTGCACAGCACTCTGAAAATCTGTATTTATAGGATAAGTATTAGTTTCAATTACTCCCGTGGGGATGGATTTCTCCATCTCATTTCACTGTCCATGTGTTTTCTTTGTGTAGCTATAAGCACTTTAATGAGGGCCTCCTGGTGGTGGAATTTAAAACAGTCAAGCAGAAGGAAAGCATAATTCTTTGCAATGTGGCGGAACAGCTGTTTGAAAAGAAGAAACAAATAGAGAAAAAGAGATATTTGCTTTGTTGATAAAATGTAGGTGAGATATTGCAATATCTAGGATACTAAAAGAAGGGACATTGTTAACTGCAGAGCACTGAGATGACAGGAATTATTTCACTGCTGAAGAAATTAATTGGGCATGGAATTAACTTCAATATGCCCAAAAAAATTTATTTTATAAATTTTAAACTCAGTCTCATTTAGCCCACCAGTCAATGTAGCATGTTTCAAGCAGCAATAATTACAATAAATGTTCTCTTTGACATCAGAGTAAGCCTAAAGTAAGTCTACTGAATTCACCAGTCAGTGGGGTTTCCCTATAATTATTGCTATAACAGAGAACAATAATAATCCCTCAGTCTCTATGCAAAAAAGGCAAGAGAAACACTATAGAGTTAAAAGCGGCTCTGAGACCATCTAAGCTATAGATTCTGTATCGCTTGTGAACTGAAAAAGCTGAGGAAGATGCTCCAAATTAGGCCACCAAGAACAGCTTGGGTTTATTTGAAAATTTCCACATTGTCATGTGCTACAGCCCTATCTTCGTCCTGTCACTCTCTCAGCCTTCCACCAGCGTTCCCAAAGATGTCTTCGTAAAAAGGTACGCAGTTTCCTCACACGATGACTGCAATATGCAGGTTCCTCACTGTTTAATGAGCTCTTCCAGATCCTAACAGAGATCTCTAGTTATTCTACCAGGAGAGAGAGCGTGTGCTAGGTGTTCACTTCCCCACGGAGTGACAGGCACAGAAGGACACACAGTGCTACACCATAACGCGTTTTAACATCGCTTAAAACCATAACGTGAAACTACCCGCTGGCAGGAGAACAATGCAATACATTGAGAGGCAGTGCTGGAAACAGCAATGGTTGGCTCTTGTCTCAGTATCTACCCGATGTAAGTGGGGAAATAACCTCCAAAAGCTACTGCCAGAGTAGCCTGGGAGGTTGGTGCAGTGAGGAAATTCCACAGCATTTTCCCAGGAAGTGGAGTCTGGCAAGAAATGAAATTCAGTAAAGCCACACAAACGAAGAAAGATTCCTGGAGCAAATCACACCGAAAAGCAGACACTGAACCTCTTTCTCTCACCCTCAAACTTCTGGAGAAGCTTTCTGAACTCTCATTCACGAGCCCTACCAGCTGTGGAACTATTCATGTACGTGTTAGCATCCGTGCACACAGCAGTCAGGCACACAGAAGTACGCATTCACCTCACACACCAAGGCAGTGGGATGGGCTGCCAGGCTTTTTCCGAGTCTCCGCCTTGGAGAAAGAGGCTCTCGGAGATTCTCTCTGCCAGGGAATCACTGAGAGACCCTGGATAAACAGAACAGTTTAGTTTTACAATAATTATACTGTATTACTACAATACCTCATCCTGCTTAGCACAAGGAGAACTCGGGCGCACTACTGTGCTGAAATATTCAGGTTTTCCTTCTAGGAAGGTGAACATCTGGCGGGGCATGTCCTGACCAGAGCTTCTTAACATTCTGTGTTCCCCCCCCTCAACAACAACCCCCTGAAGTATTTATAAAGGAAATGTATGCACCTTTTTGTCTTTGAGCATCTCAGGGAGGTGCTTTTGCCATCTGCAGCTCTTGTGGTCTGAGCATTGGTTTGGAAACTCAGAATTTTTCAATGCATTTAAAAACTGGAAAAAAATAATAATAAAGGAACTGAGTGTTAAGAACTCAGTTCCTCACTGTCCTCTATGGTGTTTGACTCTTATAAGCACCTACATTAGCTACAGGTTTTTTTGGTTCAGAATTGTAGTTCTACATTCTCCAAGTCTTTCTTCTGAGGTCCTTGCCCTTTTTGTTTTGATCTTTCTTACCCAATATATGCACACACGGATATGGATGTTAAAAGCCAATAGGATGTTGTGGTTTTGGTTTTTCTTTCCCTCGCAATGTAATCCCTTCTCTTATAAAAGAAAATCACTAATTTCCAGTGCACAGACTCTAGTACATGGGGTCAGAAGGCCACTGTTTTTACAGTGTGTGTCCTGTAAGAATCAGATATGGCTTAACTAAACTACCAGAAGATCCTGCGGCACCAGAGATTTTTCTTGTCTGTAGTCACCGGGTTGGTAGTGTGGTATCTTTCCAGTTCTCATTCCAAGTAAGCAATTTTCCGGTTGACTTCAGGCGGGGTGCCAATTTAGGACTCTGAGAATGTGAGACTGTTAAAGAACTTTTTTTTTGTGGAGTATTAATGCATGTACAAACCAGATTAAAAGGCTGGTGATTCTCTTATGTTCTCCTCTTTTTAGTGGCACTTCTTTTTCCTGCCCCCTTTTTTCCTCCCTTTTCTTTCTTGTTCCCCTTCAACTAAAATCAGCATCCTAATATGTCATTATTCTGAAATTTTCAGGAAAGCCTCACAAAGTCCTCCACAGAAGCTTTTCTAACAATGAAGCAACCAATTCGAGATCACTAAATTCTAACGGATTGGAGAATCATTTTAAAATTTACAAAAGGAGTGGTATTTTGCCTCTGCATTATGAAAAATACGTACTCCCGCCGTCCATTCAAAATACTATCCAAACCAACTACCGAAGCCACCTCTCATGGAACACAAGCCAGTGAGTACCACAGTAAAACTAAATTTATTCCACCATGAGAAGGGAGGGCTTTATAAGACGTGGAGAGGATAAGGCCAGCGGGACTGCTCCAGAGGACAGCTTACGGAATGGCCACCAGCTCTTCCTGATGGAGCACCTCTCTTATGAGGACAGGCTGAGAGACCTGGGGTTGTTCAGCCTGGAAAAGAGAAGGCTCTGGGGAGACCTTATAGCCCCTTCCAGTACCTGAAGGGGGCTACAGGAGAGTTGGGGAGGGACTCTTTGTCAGGGAGCGGAGCGATAGGACCTGAGGTAATGGTTTTAAACTGAAAGAGGATAAATTTAGATTAGATATTAGGAAGAAATTCTTTACTGTGAGGTTGGTGAGGCACTGGAACAGGTTGCCCAGAGAAGCTGTGGATGCCCCATCCCTGGAAGTGTTCAAGGCCAGGCTGGATGGGGCTTTGAGCAACCTGGTCTGGTGGGAGGTGTCCCTGTCCATGGCAGGGGGTTGGAATTCGATGATCTTTAAGGTCCCTTCCAACCCAAACCATCCTATGATTCTGTGATTCCCTCAGCTCCTGCAGTCCGGGACCCCAGACCTTCTCCACTTCTTTCCCCCCCCCGCCCCTGTTTCCAAGCAAGGAGGGAATTCTCTGCTTAATGGCGCTTTGCTGTTTATCTGCAAAAAAAACCACCAAAAACCCGAATTTAAAGGACCCTTCCAACCGATTTAACCATTTAGGGCATAAAAAACAAACCGCGGGCCTGGTGAGGCCCGACCGCGGGAAGAGCCGCATCATCCCAGCGCCAGCCCCTCCGCGCTGCCCCCTCTCCCTGGCGGCCGGCGGAGGGGCTC